TGTTGCTAGCGCTGTAGATGGACTGTTGCTAGCGCTGTAGATGGACTGTTGCCATTGCTGTAGATGGACTGTTGCTAGCGCTGTAGATGGACTGTTGCTATTGCTGTAGATGGACTGTTGCTAGCGCTGTAGATGGACTGTTGCTAGCGCTGTAGATGGACTGTTGCTAGCGCTGTAGATGGACTGTTGCTAGCGCTGTAGATGGACTGTCGCTGTACTCAACAAGGAGATGGGAGACAGCAGATCCAAAAGAGCCTGAAGAGTGTCCCATGCATTTCTTGTTTCATAAATACATCCACATAGGAGAAGACCATCAGACAAGGAAGCAAACAAACTCCTGGGAGTAGTCTAAGGCACAGGGGTTTCTAACCAGTAGTGTTCTACCTCTTAAGATGTGCACCGTTCCAAGTTTGACTCTTACTGCTGTAATTAAACCCTGACCACGTTTAACTAAGGGGCAAAGGGTTTATTCAACACACACTCCAGGTCATCACTGGGGGAACTTGAAGCAGAAACCATGAAAGAATGCCCCTTGTTGGCTCCCTCCATGGGTATATGCTTAGCTGGCTTCCTAATACAGCCCAGGGCCACCTGCCCTGCCCAGAAATGGTGTTACCCACAGTGCACTGTGTCTCCTCTGTCAATGAATAGGCAAGGCAATTCCCCCACAAACATGTCCAGAGGTCAATCTGGTGGAGGCAAACCCTCAGTTAAGGTCCCTTCTTCCCAGATGACTCTAGCTTGTGTCGAGTTGACAACAAACACTAATTGACACAGTTGTCAGCCCACTGGCAAAATGTATTCAGGATTCAGAGAAGATACTAGGAGGACTCCTGGGACAGGGTCTCTTGTCCCTAAACAGAAGACTCAGAAACGCCCTTTCATTCTAGGTGGTGGTCACAGATATGATACCAGAATGCTGCTGTTAGGATATGGTCAGGGGCAGCCTCAGAATTAAGCTCACTGGTCTATGATGACAAGCCTGAAGCAATAAACTAAGGTTGCAGGGGGCTTGAGAGATGGCTCGATGGATAAGAGCATTTGCTTCTCTTGCAGAGGTCCCAAGTTCAGTTCCTAGTATCTATATTGGGCAGATCATAACTGCCTCAACTCCAGTTCCAGGGAATGCAACGCCTGTAAAAGCATTTGTACATCCATGGCACCCACAAACACACACACACACACACACACACACACACACGCACACACACACAGAGACAGACAGACAGATTAAAAAATTAATGAAGTTGGAGCCTTATTGCTTGCTTTTCTGGTATCTAATCTCAACTTACCATTCACATAGTTAGTAGTTCAAAGCCACTGAAGTCATGCTAACTGACTGACTGACTACTGAGGTGACACTAACTGACTGAGTGTCCAGTGAGGTCATGCTGACTGACTGACTGTCTACTGAGGTCACGCTAACTGACGGTGTCCACTGAGGTCATGCTAACTGACTGTCCACTATACTTTCTGTTCCCATGATAAATGTCATGACTAAAAATAACCTTGGAGGGAAGGGCTGTTTAACCATCTATACCACAGCCCATGATAAAGGGAAGGCAGGCGCTAGCTGCAGGAAACGACACGACAGCCATGGAGAACGCTCCTTACTGGCTTGCTCTCACAGCTCACTCAGCTTGCTTTTTCCTTTTCTTTTGTTTTCCTTTTGTTGTTTGTTCTTGTTTTGTTTTTTTGAGACAGGGTTTCTCTGTATTGTTTTGGAGGCTGTCCTGGAACTCGCTCTGTAGACCAGGCTGGCCTCGAACTCACAGAGATCCTCCTGCCTCTGCCTCCCGAGTGCTGGGACTAAAAGCGTACGCCACCAACGCCCGGCCTCAGCTTGCTTTTTCACACAACTGGGATGACTTGTCAAGGTACAGACCTGTTCACTATAGGCTAGGCCCTACCTCATTAATCCTTGATCAAGAACTGTCCCTATAGGCTTTCCTTACAGCCAATGTGATGGAGATGTTTTCTCAGTTGAGGGTCCCAATCCCCAGGTGACCCAAGATTGTGTCCAAGTGACAGGAAGAAAAACCCTAACCAGCACACCAACATGAACACTCTAACCAGAAAACTAATGCAAACAAACACCTCTCACCAACACACACACACACACCATCAGCAGCAGCAACAGCAGCAGCATCAAGGGTTGGTTCACTGACTCCTTACAGCATGCTGTACTGTCCATGTTGTAGATGATAAAAAACAAATCTTGGAGAATCTAAGCAAGTAACTCATATGCTGAGGGGCACATAGGCTGAGCAGCAGATCTTGGGGTGTCTGCTTCCAACGCTCCCACACCTGCTACTGACCGTGCCTGTTATCGCCTCTGCTCTGGGTACCAACTCAGGCTGTCTTCCTTCAGTTAGCTCTGCCTGTGGCCAGCGCCGGTCTCCCCAGCTCCCCTGCAGTGACCACTCTAAATCCAGTTCAGCCCAAGCCAGTGAGATGAGCTCATGTGCAACCTGCATGCCAGGAGGAAACCACGAGGCAT